TGTATCGAGATGAAACTTTATTTTGATTAGGTGCGGTCAAATGAATGACACTACTCGGATCTTGTATGCGCGTTTCGGAGACGCAGCACACATCGATTGTGTAAGATTCTAGAGTCCTAGCTAAGGAAGCCTGTTGTCCTATTTGGCACAATGTTCGGACATTAAAAGTTCCTATATGTAGTTTAGAGCGTGGTTTCAGGAGACCAGGAATAACGTTCTGTGTACTCGAATCGTTTGCCCTAGCGGTGCGAGGTGATAAAAGGACGTGGGAAGGGTTAGTCGAGGAGATAACAGAGTTATTAGGTGTAGGAAGGATTTGAAAGCAACCAACTTGGTCTTGTGTGCAGTTAAGGGTATGAGGGCTAGTATCACTTGCCGGCTGCCCACACCGTGGAAGGGTATTTCTTGAGGGACCTGGAAAAGAAGTTGGATTAGTGTTGGTCTTAACGACCTGGGAGCGTGACCGCAGTGCCCAAGGGACATCTGCTTGAGGCCGGTCACGCACGGCCTTTTTGTGGGGGATTTTTGACGTGTTAGCTCCGTTCTTTAAAAGTCCTTACCGCCGGAGACGGAATTCCGTGGGATAAGGCGAGGTGTGCATTTTTAGGGTCGACCTTTTCTAACCCCACCCCTCCTTGTGGGAAGGCAGCATCGCTGTCATGCTGGTTGTCTGAAGGAAACACCTTACTGCTTTCACACCTCTGTACAGTCAGCAGTACGACTTCGCCTTCGAACCTTGGGATTGCTGCTTTTAGTCTCACCGCTCTTCAACCGACCTGTCTGGCATGGTAGGACCTTGAGGAACGATTGTTCCGGCCAGCATAGCTCGATTGGATCATCACGATAGGCAAGCCCGACCACCACGTCAAGGTAGCAGCAACGGTCGGGAACAGTACCAGCACTTATATAGCTACCTAGATACACGAACTTCTCAACTACTTCGATCTGCTCACCATCCAGGGTGAGTACAGGATGAGAATCCTGCCAGTCTTGTAGGAGTACTTTGCACTTGGAGGGTGCAAAGCACATGCCGTACCTGCGGACACTGATTGCCAACTGATTAAGTGCGGATTGCATGCCTTGGGCATTATCGCACAGTAAGACAATATCATCCGCATACTCAAGGTCGAGAAGTCGTTCTCCAGGCAACATATTCACACCGCCATTACTTACATCCACCAGAGCTGTTTCTAGGATGTCGTCGATGGCAAAGTTGAAGAGGAATGGTGAGATCGGGCAACCCTGCCTAACCCCACTGCTCGAATGGAACGAGGGAGAAAGGTGGTTGTATGCCCTCACTCTGCCTGAGGTGTTCGTATACAGGGCCTTTAAGATGTTAATGAACTTCTCAGGCACACCCTTCTTCAATAGACAATCCCAGAGAACAGTCCTGTCCAACGAATCGAAGGCCGCCCTGATATCAAGAAACACTACGATTGTTGGCCTGCGATAAGTATGACGGTGTTCTAACATTTGGCGGAGGGTGAAGATGTGATCAATGCATCCTCGACCAGAACGAAAACCAGCCTGCTCCTCGCGAGTCAATCGTTCTCGGGTTTTAAACAACCTACGAAGAATGACAGAAGCCAATAGTTTGGACGCAATCGTAAGTAGACTTATCCCCCGATAGTTATTGCAGGAACAACGCGAACACTTTTTAAAGATAGGGACGACTATTGACTCATTCCATGATGTTGGAACACTTTCTTGCTCCCAAACCTTTCCCAACAACACAGTCAATTCCTTAGTCAGAAAGTCGCCACCATCTTTAAAAAGAGCCGGAGGTAAGTCATCTGGGCCAGGTGATTTGTAGCGCTTCAAGAGTTGGAGTTCCTTGCGGACTTCCGCCTCGTTTGGTGGAACAGTCGTCACCGGCCATGGGGGGCAGGACAAGCTGGTTGATGTTGCCGGAGCAGCAGGCCAGTTGAACTGCCCTTCGAAGAATTCCGCCCATCGTCCAAGACGTCGGGAGATGTTAGTGATTGGCATCCCATCATCCTCGTAGATTGTTTCACTCACACCAGACTTCTTGCTGCCAGTGGCTCGGATGAGTTGGAAGAGCTTCCGGCAGTTACCAGATGCAGCTGCTGCTTCCATCTCATTAGCACGCTCCGACCACCAGGCTTCTCGGTCCTAACGCAAGCTTTGCCCAATTTCATTACGTAACAACCTTCGTTTGTGGTCAAACTCACGGTCACCTGGAGTAGACCGACGGGCTTCGATCAGTTATAAGGAGCCAGAAGAGACCCAGTGCTTGTAAGCGGGACGTTTCGCGAAGCCGCAAGCGGCTTTACTCGCCATTTTCATGGCGTCGTGAAGATGCAACCAATGCTCATCTATACTTTTCGGTGGGATGGTAGCTAGCCTAGAGGCTAGCTCCGCTCGATACTTACTTGCAACAGGAGTTGCAGCCAGTTTACTAATATCAATCCGTTGGTGGTGGTCAATCCTTCGGCCACTGAAAAGTAAGGTGAGATTGGCGCAGACCAGGGCATGATCAGACTCCAGATAGGTACTCCAAAAGGAGCGGCAGTCTTGTACACAACCACGCCAGCGGTAGCTGATCGCGATGTGATCAATCTGAGTCCAGGCTTGGGATGCAGAGGGAGGACGCCAGGTGGCACACTGGCGATGACTGTGCCGGAAGATGGTGCTGGCCAGAAACAGGTTGTGGTCTGTGCACAGTTGCAGCAAACGGTCCCCGTTATCTGTCCGGCGACCAACAAGTCCCCATCGGCCACCTAGACGACTCTTTTCTATGCCTAGACGCCCGACCTGTGCATTCAAGTCTCCGGCTAGTACTACAATATCTGTCGAACGCGCTTTCTGGAGAAGAACTGTTAACTGATGGTAAAACTCATCCTTGATTGCATCCGGGCTGCAATCTGTCGGAGCATAGGCGGAGATGACGAAAAGACACCGTTTCTCAAGCCGGTTTCTTCTCACTTTGATGGAACTTTCTAATCTAACAGCACATAACCGACTGTTAATGGGGATCCAATCGATTAGTGCTGCTTCAGCCCTAGCGCTTAGTGCGACGCCAACGCCAGCAAGACCAGACGAAGATGCCACAGGGACCCCGGATAAGCGCACGTGGAACAAGCTTTTCGAGGCGACAGATGGAGAGCGAATTTGTAGTACTTCACTAGAGTCTTGAATACGGGTCTCGAATAGACAACAAACGTCAACATTAAGACCTTCCAAAGACATAGCCAACCCTATCTGTTGTCTGATCTGCATTAGTGTGCGAAAGTTGAAGGAAGCCAGCTTGAACGGCGTACGTGGTTTCAGAAAGACTGCCTCAGTATTCATAATCGGTAGAAGCATTCACTTTCAACCAGACAGTGACTGGAGATCGTTTAGATAGGACAGATTTTCCACTAAGAGCGAGCTGCTGCATAAGTTGAAGAGTAAGGTTACAGAAATTGTGAATAAAAGGGGGTGAATTAGCGATATGGTAAGTAATAATAATAATAATAATAATAATAATAATAATAATAATAATAATGTAAATTGTCTTGCTTATAATATGAGCAGGAATAGAATCGTCAACAGAGTTCATCATTTCATTCATTTGTGTGTGGGCTGTGATACTGCCCGGGTGCCCAAACCGAAGCAGGTGGTTTTCTTAGGGGACCACACCCCGAGCCTTTGACCTAAAGGTCTGATCCACAAGGCAGTGGAGCATCGTGAGGAGATGCAGTCCCATGGTAGCCGTTGACCAATGACAGGTTCTTCCGCCATTCGTTCCATCTGGATACTGGAGCCCATGTGCACCGTTGGTTTGGAATCAGGGTTTTCCAACTCCCCTAGCTGGACCCTCCGTGTCCACCAATCCGGTTATAGCGCCGGACATTTTTTTTTTGCCCCCAAATGCCCTGGTACGGCCGAGAGTGGGGAGAGTCTACTCTCCCTCTCGAAATGCTCTCATATGGCCAGCGAATATATAGCCTCTGCCAGGGAAGTCCTACTCTCTGCCTTCTCGTGGCGGGGGTGTTGTTTACGAAAGTGAGAGGACGAAAAGCGAACGTCCAGCACTCTTTATGTAGAAAGTAAAAGAAGGTTGCAGCAGGATCGCCACTGGCTTCTATTCTGAGCCATATCTGATAACGTCTCTAGCCACTGTGTTGCACCATCTCTCGGACCCCAACCAAGGAGTCGTGAAGGACCAACAGAAGCTAGCCCTTTACAGCTCTCTTTCATGCCACGACACCATGTCATACACTGACCTCCTCTCCGCTTTTTCCAACCAGTCCCAGAGTCGGCAAATAATGCACGACGTGGAAGTCTCTGGGACGACATTCGTAAAACATGTCCAAGCCACCGAAGTCGGTGTTTCAAGATGGTGACACCAATTGAATTATCGTCTCTGTGCCCGAACACACGATGCCGAACCTCTGCATTACTAACATGGTGTTGCCACTGGATGTCAGCAATCCTTCGGAGACAACGATGATCTAACACAGAGAGACGTCTAACATCCTCAACTCGGAGAGGCCAGGTTTCACAAGCATAGAGCAAAACTGCTCTCACCGACGCGTTGTAGATCCGACCTTTTACAGCCAGACTAACATCATGAAGGTGCCAAAGATGGCCCAGATTGGCATAAGCCGCTCTGGCTTTCATTATACGTGCATCAATCTCATCACTCACGCCACCACCAGCACTTATATAGCTACCTAGAAACACGAACTTCTCAACTACTTCGATCTGCTCACCATCCAGGGTGAGTACAGGATGAGAATCCTGCCAGTCTTTTGTAAGTCATTTTCAGTGATTTTGCCGCTTAAATTCTCAATGTTGCTGTACCTTATGGTAGTTTCTTTTGATTATGGTTTAATTACACGTTATAACCAGGGGATATCTAGTACTCCCAAATTCTAAGTGATTGCTGTCACCTTGATCTAATGGTTGAAGCAATATATCGTATTCATCGATTACTAAAATTCCATAATCCAACGAAGTTTAATTATCATTTATATTGTCCTGTTGAAATATAGGTTGATGGCTCGGAAAATGCCCTACTGCGTGATCGTGTGTATGAAAACTTTTCTCTTTCCTCAGCTAAGTTCACAGCTTGCGGTGATAAAGTTATTTTCACTGGGAATGTTGGTTCTTTTCGTGTAAGTAGGTTTTAATCTTAACTGTTTTAATTTTTCTTGGTTTTCTGGCCACATTAATTTTTTTTGTTAATTTGTAGTTAAAAATCGGTTATTAGATGGATAGTGTCTGTGTTCTCCAACTTCCTCATATATATTTACTGAGACGTTTTGATCTGTTATTAATAAGTTACTTATACTAAGTAGAATATTGATTTCACTCCCAGCTGTTTATCGGTACAAATGAGCATTAAAATAAATATGCGCTACACAAATAAGGAAATGAGATAGTGAGGGAATATGGGAAGGAAGATTATAGTCTAATAAGTAGATGAATGGAAATATGTGGTCGAGGATAAATTATGATGAAAAAAAACAAACTAGTTGAAAAAATGGAACTAAGAAGAGTCCATTTAGTTAAAAGGATTCCTTCCACTTCTGCGGAAAATGTAAACGAAGATTACGGAAGGACTACCATTGATCTCTTTTTTGAGCCATGTCTAATAATGTCTCAAGTCACTGATTTGTACCATCTGTAGGGTCCAATCAAGAAGTCATGATGGACCGACTGATGACAGTCCTACACAGCCTTAATTGATTCCCAGACTTCATGTCATAAACTGGGTAACACTGTACTTTCTTCAACCGGTTTCAGCGTTGGCAAATAAAGCATGATGTGAGAGTTGTTATAATATTGATAAGAAATGTCCAAGTCACTGAAGCCAGTGTTGAAAGATAGTGACATGAGGTGATTTATGGTCATTGTACGCGAACGTACGTTGGGGAACCTCAGCTTCAATGACACTATGTTTGCAGTGAATGTCAGCAATGTTTCGCAGACAACGATAATGAAAAATATAGTCATTTAATATTTATGTACTTGGATATTCTATGTTTGGAAAATTTGGAGGAAATAATGATCTCACTGTTGTGTTGTAGTTTGGATGCCTTACATAATCCCATAATACAGTCCTATGTGATGCATATGTATTTGGTGTCTCTTTTTATCAATATTTATGTGTTCAAATGAATAAATAAATAAATAAAATACAGTCCTGCTCAATGAGTTGAGAAACAAAAATTGTTTACTTGGAATAAGTATGATGATGTTTAAATATTTGTTGGAGTGTGAAGACCGGATCAATACATTCACGACCGAAAACATAAAGCAACCCTCTTCTAACGAATTAGTCTTTTGCTGGCTTTGAACAGTTTGAACATTGTGATGGAAGTCAATCATTTGGACACAATCTGAAGTACTATTTTTTGGGGAGTAGTTAAGTTAGGTGTTTTCAATGTACACGCCTCACTGTCAATCCAGTAAACTAATCCTTTTGGTGAATTTTTCTAAAATTTTACAGCATTATTTAATACGACTTGTAGCATACTACTGATTATTGTTACCTAATTTTATGGTGATACCTTATATTATACACTCGTTTTATGGTGTCAATGTTTTACTAGAAATACTACACAAATTCTTCTTATCAAGCTGGTGTTCGACCGAATTAGACTTAAAGAAATCTATTTACTGTACCGTTTATTTCTTGTCTTTTCAAAATGAGTTTTTTGTTTGTTATCTGTATATTTTATAGATTTATAATTTAGAAACTGGGAGTGAAAGTCGTGCAAGACGATTTATTGGTTCATCGATAGACGAAACAATTACTAAATGTTTTATTTCACCAGCTCATCCAAATTTGGTAGCCCTGGGAACCAACGGAAGTGCTGTGTATCTGGCCGATTTACGAGTTAGTTTATGACTAGTTTAAACTACTTATTTCAAAACAGTAACCTTTTCTCTAAAGAAAGTAAACCATTTTCTATGCTAACTAAATGTGACATTATTAAGTTGGTTATCTAGTAATCCTATTGAGTCCTAAGATGAAAGATGATTTGCTTTTCTGTATAAAAAGCGGGTCGATTATCTAAGCAAAGCTATGGGTTGGTGTTCATAACATTTAACTAGTGGATCATAGTCTCAAACCCTACTCCACGTACTACGATTTAGGCAGCCGGATAATATCACTAGCCATCATAAAAACAATGTGACTCATGGCCGAGTGGATAAAATCTGTACTTGATAAATGAGTTACATTAATAATTTGATTCTGTTCATGTGCACGTATTCAAACTACTGATATATGAGTTAAACAAATCATAATTTTCTTGTTTCTTGTTAAATATTAGTTCGATTGGTATATCTGTGTACATATATAAATATTATCCGATCTATACCTGTGGTATATTTTTTAAATTCTCAACAAAGTGTTGACAATATAGGTTGTGTGTAAGTTGTCTTTGATTTTTTTCTTTGGAAACATCAGTGCATGATATATTACAAATTTCGTTATTCATTCATCTAAGTATGACTGTCAACTTGATTTGAAAACTAACACTTATTACTTAAAAGAACTAAAAATCATTAATTTTTATCATATTTCTGCATATATTGTTGTTTACCACTCACTACTATCCGTAAGACGCTTTCGTATGAAGGAAAGCTATCAGTGTTGTTAATTTTACCTTCAGGATAAAACAGTTTTCTTTCAGATAACATTGATAATAAAGTTTGTACCATTTAATAAGTAGTTGAAAATTTAAGCTCAACCTGTCTACTTGTTATAGCTGAAGCGTTACGAATTCACTAGTAGCGAACGGAACAAAAACACGTGACCAGAGACCGATAACTAGCTATACTGACGCGACCCAGACCCAGCTAACTAGAGTAAGAAGTCCAAGCTGGAGCGGGGAGGTTATTCCGTAGCAGCCAGAAGCACAGCAATGCAATAAGGGAAAAGTCAAGCGCATTTATACAACAACAAATTGTCCTTGAGCATCATTAGTAAATAGCACACACAAAGAAGCAATGGACCAATAGCGTTTAAGATAGTTACAAGTGGGAAATATGATGTGAAGGTAAAAAGAGCGCGTTTGGCGCGAAAACAGCTGAATTCAAATTTTCAAAATAAAATTACAAAATTGAGCCACTTATAAAGTAAGTTCTGGGGATTTGACATCCCCAACAATGTACAATGAAATAAAGTTCGTTCATAAGTTAGAAAATGATCATCCTAAAAAGAATGTCTGTCTTATTTCTCGTCATTATTTTTACAGAGCTTAGAAAAAATTTCAGTTATGAGAGCAAGTGGTATAACCAATTCGATTTGTTTCACTCAAGATGGAACATTTTTGAATACTTATGGCGGTAAGTTTCAAAACAAAGCTTTACATTGATTAGTTTGTTTAATTTTATTTGCAAATTCCTTTGAGTAATGCAAAAGAAAAAAGAACAATATGATGTGTGTTCTTGTACATTGATTATTTAATATCAAATTGTTTCGCATAATTTACAGTGTAAATGGTGCAACTCGCATACGCTAGGATGCAGGTATTTGGTTAACAACTACCGTGCTCATATGTAATTTCATTCTTCGATCTCATTCTTTTGAACTGTTTTTAGTGTTTTCGGAATTATTCACTATCTCATACTTTTCTTGTTGTTCATTTCCTCTGTGTGTTGATATAAAGCGTCCCAGACCTTACATTGATGACTGTCTGGTTGAAACAAATGTGCAACTAATATCAGTACAATCTAGTTAGTCAAATGGTAGGTTAAATGAGTTTCAACCAGAGGGAAAGTTGAACACATAAATTGTTGGGTTAATGTTTCCACGAACTTTCATCTATACTTGTAGCATGATTTATATGGAGCCATCTTTTCTGATCGTCACTGTTATTAAGATTTAATAAAGATACTGAAGAGACAGACAGAAGTAATCATCATTGGACCTGATACAAATATGCATCTGTTCGCGTTGTCAAAGTTCATACCACCAAAAAAACAAATTGACAGAGTAGGAAATAAAATAATAGTAGTGTTCAGCTAAATAGATGCGAATTGTACGAAGCGCACAAAATCATGAAATGTAAAATATTGTCATGCTCAGTGCTTTGATGAATTTAAAAAATGAATGGATGGTTTTCGATAAGGATGTTCTCGAACTATATCCCCTAAGTTTGCTGACCATAGATTACAGATATCCTACGAATCCTAACTGAGAAGTTTAAACCTCAACTGATTAAGAGAGTGAGTGTCATAATAAGAGCTCTTGCTAATCGGTGCTTCATTGTAATAATGATGTTTTATGTCCTATTTACCCTTTATAATTCATATAATCAATGATAACCGTTTACTACCTCATTTTAAATCCGCAATTTACTTTCGTTAGTTTTAATAGTTTTCTCATCTGGTTAATTTTAGCTGAAGGTTCTATCTATGTATTTGACCTACGAGTTAATAAAGCTAGAATTATTCATCGTTGGTTTGATCAAGCCAGTACAAATGGTTTATCTATCTCTTCTTCACCCAATTCACAATGGATTGCTTGTGGGTAAGATAATTGATCTTAACTAATCGTCTACAAATGATCAAAATCATATAAAAATTGGTCATCATTAGCAAATGTTATACTAATTGTCGAGTTATGTCTTTACCTTATAACTTCAGATGAACAACACTTTGTGTGAATTTAATTCAATACATCTTAAATATTTATTTATTGTCAAGTGTTTTGTTAAGGCATTGCTGTTGTTAGTTAATTAGTCATAGACACCATAATAACTACATGTTACATTTTCCTGATAACTAATTCACATAATCTATCTATAATTATTTTCCTCAATCTCTGTCCAGTTGTTAAACAGGCTGACTATATTATGAATCTATCTTGACTGAGATGATTGAAATGTAGATAACAGATGTCTGACCACTGTCTATTTTGATGTTTTGTACTAAGCAGTGTATGGGAGTAAGTTGGAAAAAGATTGGAAGCAATGAGACTATGATAGAACATCAATCTACGAATTCATTAACTATTAACCTTGCTATGTTTTTGAGGTTTAAATATATATTAATCGTTGTCACTTAAATAACTGTAATTAATGGTTGGATCACTAGAAGTGGTTATATCACGAGATCAGTCGAAGTGGTTTAGATACATTTATTGCTTATCATTTAATTCTTAAACATAATACTACTTCTTATACATATTCAGTAATATAACGTTTCTATACTCTGTTTGTTTGTGTACTATTTTGATGAAGTTGCAAAATGGATTTTAATCCTCACATATTTACTCTCTTAGAAATACTTTTCACCTCAAATAATTTCATATAATAGGGGTATAAATCACTCATTGATTCTATTCCTTTTCGCCAGTACAGATGATTTTATCAGAACATCTTGTTTGTTGACATTAAGCAGTGAACTAACTGTTGTGTAAAATTAAATTCTATTGTATAGCGTTTCTTCATCTATAACTTACTTACTTACTTACGCCTGTTACTCCCAATCGAGCATAGGCCGCCGACCAGCTTTCTCCAATCCACTCTGTCCTGGGCCTTCTTTTCTAGTTCTATCCAGTTCTTGTTCATTCTTCTCATGTCTGTCTCTATTTCTCGGCGTAATGTGTTCTTTGATCTTCCTCTTCTCCTTTGACCTTCAGGATTCCATGTGAGGGCTTGTCTTGTGACGCAGTTAGGTGATTTCCTCAATGTGTGTCATATCCACTTCCAACACTTCATGATTTCTTTCTCCGCTGAATCTGTTTTGTTCTCTCCCACAGTAACTTGTTGCTGATAGTGTTTGGCCAACGGTTCCGAAGTATCTTGCGTAGACAGCTGTTAATAAACACTTGTATCTTCTGGATGATGGCTTTCGTAGTTCTCCACGTCTCCGCCCCATACAGTAGAACTGTCTTCACATTTGTACTGAAAATTCTGATCTTGGTGTTGGTTGACAACTGTTTTGAGTCCCAGATGTTCTTCAGTTGTAAATATGCTGCTCTTGCTTTGCCGATCCTCGCTCTCACATCTGCATCAGATCCACCGTGTTCATCAATGATGTTGCCCAGTTATGTAAGGGTTTATACGTCCTCCAAAGTTTCTCCGTCAAGTATAATTTGATTGGTGCATGCTGTATTGTATCGGAGAGCCTTGCTTTTCCTTTTGTGTATATTGAGACCTACTACTGCTGAGACTACTGCTACACTGGTCGTCTTCTGCATTTGTTGTTGCGTTTGTGATAGAAGAGCTAGATCATCTGCGAAGTCTAAATCGTCCAGCTGCATCCTGCCTGTCCACTGTATCCCGTGATTTCCTCCAGATGTTGATGTCTTCATGATCCAGTCGATCACCAGGAGAAAGAGAAAGGGTGAGAGCAAGCAACCTTGCCTAACACCGGTCTTTACCTCGAATGAGTCAGTGAGTTGTCCACCATGAACGATTTGGCAGTTTAATCCATCATAGGAATTCCGTATGATATTGACTATATTCTCAGGTACGCCGTAGTGTCGATGAAGCCTCCATAGTGTTATCCTGTCCACGCTATCAAATGCCTTCTCGTAGTCGATGAAGTTGATGTAGAGTGATGAATTCCATTCGATTGATTGTTCCACAATGATAAGTAGAGTTCCGATTTGATCTGTGCACGATCTATCCTTACGAAATCCAGCTTGTTGATCTGGAAGTTGGGCGTCCACGGAATCCTTCATCCTGTTTAACAATACTCTGTTGAAGACATCCTGGTATTGAGAGAAGAGTAATGCCTCTTTAGTTATCGCACTTTCTGAGATCGCCTTTCTTTGGTATCTTGATCAGAAGTCCTTTTTTCCAGTCTATTGGTACTTGTTCTTCATCCCCAATCTCACTGAAGAGGATGTGGAGTATCTTGGCAGTTGCTGCTACATTTGCTTTCAGTGCCTCTGCCGGGATGTTGTCTGGTCCTGCTGCTTTGCCGCTCTTGATTTGTCTAATGGCCATGCTGATCTCTTCAATTGTTGGTGGGCCAACATCGATTGGGAGGTCTGTGGGTGCTGCTTCGATGTTGGGTGGGTTCAGTGGAGCTGGTCAATTCAAGCGTTCTTTGAAGTATTCTACCCACCTGTTTCGTTGTTCTTCAATGTCGGTGATTACTTTGCCTTCCTTGCTTTTCACTGGTCTTTCTGGCTTACGGTAATTTCCAGCAAGTTTCTTTGTTGTATCATACAATTGTCTCATGTTTCCTTCTCTTGCAGCCTTTTCCGCTGTCATCGCTAAATCTTCCACATATTTACGTTTGTCGGTTCTGATGCTCCTCTTCACTTGCTTGTTTGCCTCTGTGTATTCGGCTTGTGCCTTGGCTTTTTCCGCTCTGGTTCGGCTGATATTGATTGCTGCCTTCTTGTTCCTCCTTGCTTCAATCTTATCCAGTGTACCAACAGTGATCCATTCCTTGTGATGGTGCTTCTTTTGGCCCAGAACCTCTTGACATGTTGAAACGATTGCCTTCTTGATACCTTTCCAGTTGCTCTCTATGGTAGTTCCCTCTCCATTGAGTAGATCATGAAAGGCCTCGAACCTGTTGCTGAGGTCTATGTTGAATTTGTTGAGTTTGTCAGCATCTCGAATAAAGGCCGTATTAAACTTTTGTGATGTTGTCCGCGCCGTTGTCCAGTGCTTCTTGAGTTTTAGTTTCATCTTGGCGATCAGCAATTGATGATCGGATACTATATCAGCTCCTCTCCTGGTTCTTACATCCTCCATCGTCCTCCTGAACTTTTTGTTGATGCAGATATGGTCGATTTGATTTTGTGTAGTGTGATCCGGTGAAATCCAAGTGGCTTTGTGTATGTTTTTGTGTGGGAATATGGTGCCATCTATGACCAGTTTATTGAAGGCACATAGGTTTGCAAATCTCTCGCCATTTTCGTTCCTTCCTCCCAGTCCATGTTGTCCCATGACGTCTTCGTATCCAGTGTTGTCCTTTCCAACCTTAGCATTGAGATCTCCCATCAGAATTGTCAGGTCCTTGGTTGGGCACTTCTCGAAGATCGACTGCAGCCTATCGTAGAATTGGTCTTTAGCGTCTTCATCGTAGTCGTTGGTCGGCGCATAGCATTGGATGACGTTCATTGTAATGCCCTCTTTCTTTGTTTTGAAGGATGTTTTGATGATCCTTAGTCCATGAAATTCCCATCCTTTAGGTGCATTTTGTGATTATTTGGACAGCATCAATGCAACTCCTTGTGTATGTGGGGCATTTTCTTCTTCATGGCCGGTGTATAACAGAAGCTCCCCTGAAGGTAGTCGTTGTTGTTCAACCTGCGTCCAATGTGTTTCGCTGATTCCAAGCACCTTCATGTTGTATTTTCTCATTTCCGCAGCAATTTGGAAGACTTTTCCGGTCTCCCACATTGTTTGGACATTCCATGTACCTATAAAAATTGTCGCTCTGGTTGTAAGAAGGTGCATCGGCCTCATGACTTCCGAATGAACTCGGCTTTCATCATGAGACGTCATAATTATTCCTTCTACTCCCAGGGCAGAGTTTGAGTGGCTTGAATGATTTTTTCTGGTTAGCGTTTTTTTTCTTTCTTCATCTATAACTTAATGAATAAATATTACTTGATACGCACTACCGGCTCTTGAATATTGAACAGCAAATTATAAAAGCTTTAGTTAACACAGTGACTTCATGATACGATCTTTAGAATCCTTTTTTGTATTATTATTATTGTTATTATTATTAATACTATAGTGAACAACCGACTCTGTTATTCACTAGACTGAACCACCTAATTCCTAACCATTAATCAACAAATACAGACTCACTAATTAGACTAATATTATTGTTGATTGTTATAGATTAAAAATAAATCTGTGAACTTGAATAATTATAATTTTTTGTATTGTAGTTATTCTGGTCTAGTTAATTCTTAAGTAGTCCGAAATTTTACCTAGCTGTCGAAACCAAGTTTAGATGTGATTGTTTGAAAATATTTAGGTGCTGGGTAACACAAATATATATATAACATATAGTTAAGGATTCATTTGATTTAAAAGTCAAAATAGCAAACCAGAAATTTGACGAAGATGCAATTATTGTGAGCAATGATGTGAACTCACTTTATAATAGCACTCCTATTGTCGAAGGTTTTGATATCAGTCATCATTCTATCAAAAAGATGTACACTGAACACCAGCTAGGTAATCAGAGCCTTAAAACTCGGCTTCGAAATAAATTGTTGTATATTTGGAGGAAGCTTATATCGACAAACAACTAGAGTAGCGAAACGGTCACCTGCATCATCTTTAGTTGTAAATCTTGATGAATAATATATGCAGGTGTACATTCGGTGAATTCCTAAACATACTTAAACTAGAAAAATATACCTAAAAATACACTGATGCTATCGTCGTATTATACACTACTCATTCTTGGAGAAACTGAACAGTGAATCATCCAGTTTTAAGTTTACTTCAGATTAAGAGTGAGGTAGTACTGAGTCGCCTAGTTAAACGTGAAGAAAATCGATATTTCAGTATGACTTCAGTAAGAAAATAAACTTGGGCGAATATCTTGATTTTTAACCGTTACACTTCACAAGTTGTTTCTATTCTTCTAAGAAAAACTATTTCAAGGAAAATGGACTAACAAACTATCGAAGAAATTTTCTTCACAAAATAGGAAAAAATGTAAAGCGTAACCGGAAAAATACGCCGAAATCATGAACGACAACAATCATCATTCCATACAGAACACAGCTGAAATTTCAACAAATGCAACCGCAGGGTATTCTTTAGAACTATTAGATACGATAAGGCAAATTTGTTCTTCCGAATGTCAAAATACCGTAGAATTCACCATTTAATCGTGTTTGTAAAATAAGATGTTAAGGGTGTGACTCAATATACATTTTGTAAAATTCTCGAGAAATCTGTCAAAAATATATATCGTAAAGCTTCTGTTCGATCGCTAAGAAATCCAATTAAACTTGGATATTGAATAACCAGCTATAGGTTTACTTGCTATAATATCAGACCACAAGACTGACTCGAACCACATGAAATCGTTCAGAGAAATGTCAAAAATCACAGGGAACGTCTCATAGGAGTCTTCTGGTTAAGAGTAAGGGGATAAGGCAAACTTTAAACCAGTTGCAGATCACTCCTTCCACAAGCGAACTTTGTGAATACGGATATGATGAAGATTTTTCATCGCGCTGACACATGATGTTTCTTATATTTTTTACACCTACCAAATCTGACAATATACACATGTCTGTTTTCCTTATTAATTCAGTCGCTCTACAACGCAGAATTACTTCGTAATAAGTATAATATATGAGATGAGATGCTTTTAAATTCTAGTTGACTGGTACTTTGATAAAACTATTATCATTCAATAGGACATCAGTACAAACAATTTTGTTTTCCACTCGTTGGATAATTCAAATATCTATTCTGGGGATCCCCAGAAATCATTTGGAAAAAGTCTTATTTTGGAAATTAGAACTTCTAAATTTTAGCGACAATAGCGTCTACTTTTACCTTCGGTTTGTATTTCCCACTTGAAGGACCTTGAACGACATTGGTTCGTTCCCTCTTTTAGTATGCTATTTTGTGGCGTTTTCCAAGGGTGTTCTTGTACTATATATATACGCATGAGTAGAATACATGAGTGGAATACACATTTTCCTTGGCTGAATTTGATCTTGTCCTTCTAATTAGCAAGGCTAGGGCGTAGTGGAATAACATAGCTTGTCCTGTTGTAGTGTTGCTGACTTTCGTTCTGTTCTCCGGCGATGTATTGATCTTTTCAAACGTAGCAATCTAGTAATATTAAGTAATCGAAATACTCGATTAAAAATGTAGTTTTAAAAATTTCTGTTATGATCTTCCAATTTACTTGTTTCTCATATTTTATTCACTTTCAGTATTGAATTTTTGTTTATTTAATAGATGAATATTAAACTAATATAAGGAATTATTTACCGAATAGTTTCATTCATTTCTTCTTTCTTTTCTTCCCACTTTTTCTTTATTTTTTAAAATAGAATTTATCTAATCCGTAGAGTTAAATTATTTCTTAGTATACTCATTTTAAAAATATCGTTTTCAGAGCTAAACAAATTCACTTTTGGAAGATATTGTGATATTTTTCAAACATTGAAAACTCATTCTTGTTATTCATCTGTCCATTGTTTACATTAAATTCTAAAATGAAAATGAACATTGCGTGTATGGTACTTTCGTTTTACAAATCTTTTTATTTCCATGTGATTTCTAAATATTAATCTTTACTCGATTTAATTTATTTGCACTGTCGCGCAATTGTTTGTTTGTGTATTTGTGTAAATCTAAATCAAGAATTCTAATCAATTAGATTAAATCTTAATGGTTTATTAAAGGGATTATCAGAAATCTCCTTATTTGATAGACTATAGATGTAGGTTTGCGATTTCGAAAGAATCATTTGTCTTGGTTAATTTTACAGTTTATTGTCTGAAATTGGTCGAATTTTAGTTATATTTTAAGTCCGGTTTGTTTGGGAAGTATTTCTATCTATACTGACCTTGTAAACAGGAGAAATATGCAGTAATTTACATGTAACAGTTTGTTACTTGCTGTTGAGTTACGATTTTGGTAGTTAACTATCATAACATTTACTTATGCACAACTTGTGTGAATCAACTTAGTACTTAAATCTGCAAGCTCGTGCTTACTAAATGTAATATTGTAGGAGATAAACTTGTCATCTAGATTCAGATTAACTACTATTTTTCGGGATAGACAATATTCCAAACCGTTCGATTGTGAAAAGCCACTGATCAGGTTGATTGATGTGAACTAATTACTTGTATTGATGTAGTGTGGTTAAAGTAAAGCTAGAAGATAGATAAAAGTTAAGAAGTCGTAAGATGACACTAGCACATCTTTAAAATATTCGTTCTGAACTACACATTTTGTTCATCAGTACAAAATTTATTGATCAGAATGTTTTTTTTCTTGTTATAAATAGCATAACCATTATTGTAAGTTTGATTCTCTGAGTATGAATTTATCAGAAAGCTGTTTGCTTTGTCTAACTAGTTCTAATACAATCATTCATACACAGGGAAGTTCTATTTTATGTTTTTTACTATAATTTCATTTATCATACCTTTTATGTTCTTTTATTCAACAGGGCAGATAGCGGTTATGTGAATGTTTACAAATGGTCATCTACGATGAATACAGAGAATCCACTACCTGATAAAGCTATTGGTAATTTGGTTACCGGTGTTAATTCGCTTTGTTTTCACCCCTCTAACGAAATTCTTTGTCTGGCTTCTTCACAACGTCCGGATGCTATCCGACTTGTATGTTTTCCTAATAGCTATAATATTTGGTTAATTTATTAAAGTATCATGTGGCGGTTAAAACGTCCGACTTTCACGGACTAAGTTCCAGGTTTAAACCCCGCTCCACCAATTTCGGCCTGGACAACCGAGTGGTATCGGTAGCCCGCACACTTTAATCGTGGCTCATACCAAAGCACCTGATGAATAGGTTAATTTATTAGCTGGATTAAATTTTTTATGCAAATAATTACAATGAAGCTGACAGAGTATACAATTATATTTTTGATGGAAACTACACAGAATACTTGAGTTTTATAAGAGTCTTAATGATGTACCTGTCTAATAAAGGGTTAATTGACGAAATAAAGTTAATTTATTTGTTAAATCAGTATGCAGGCACTATTATCAGTGCAATTCAGTGTAAATTATTACTGTCATTTGAAGGTCAGAAGAATACTTCGACTGGTTTGAAAGGTCAACACAGATTTTTGAGATAATGAAAATAAATGGTCGTTGAATTCAAAACTACTTTTAGGATCTTACGGCCTTCTTCGTTGGCTGTTGGTGTACAATAACAATTTCATCTGATTCATGAATTTATTCCCATGTCAGTGGTTGTCAAAGCACTAATTGTGATCCCTTTCCCCCACAAACGTGTGCGTAGGCACCTGTCTACTACTTATAAAACTATCGTATTCTGCCGTTTCTCCATCAAAAATATCTAGGCGTATATTCTCGAAGTTTAAACCATGCCCTATCCTGATAAACTAACATATCTGATGGATTCTCAACCTGTCATATGATACAGTCTTTTGTTCAATCATGGCGAAATGATTATTGTTATAGAATAAACCGATTCTGATTCAATTAAAAAACTGTTGATGGTATTTGTACATATGCTTCATTGAGAAAAATACTGACGTATTTTTTGTTGATTATTAGGCACCGACAATAACTTGCCCTTTGAAACTATATAGAAGTTCAAAATATAAAATATTGATTTCTGGTTCGTCAGTTTAATGTAAACTTCAAATGTCATTAAATTCAGTTTATAACACTACCTAATTGAACAAATGCACATATTACTACTAATTTTAGCATGTATTACAGCGTCTTTCCGAGTTAATGAATCACCTATATTCATAGAAAACATCCCTAATCTATGAACGTATAACTAATTTTAAAGTGTATCTTTTAGTCGTATTATTGTCTCTTTACATTTTTGAGTTTCAAGTGGCTTGTGGGTGCTTGGGGTTTAGAAGTTAATTCAAACAGAAATGTTTGATTATTGGCATGAAAATGTCTTATCTCTCTCTCCCTTTGGGGTGATAAAAAGTGGTTTGCATATTGCAGTTAAACTAATATCTCAGTTTGAAATATTACCTAATTCATACTTGGATTTTAACACATGTTCTATTTTTTTAGAATTTATTTTAATTCATATTTATAATGGTAGGTTTCCATATAGCTTATAAGTGTGCTTGGTGTTCAGTAATAGATTTTTGTCATATAAATAATCAGGAGTTTTATGGATATTATGTTAATTTCAATAGTTGAGATCTTGAGTCAATTGAAGCTAGATCACCATGGAAAACCTGGAAGCACTGGATGGCAGTTTCGTCCTATTGTGGGACTCCTTAGCGGCAGTGCGCATCCACGATCCCGCCTCGCGAGATTTGAACCTAGAACCTATCAGTCCGGATTAACGATGGAGTCTATTTCAAAAAGTGGTTGATTATAATACTAGGATAATTGAGGTTTTCTTTAAACCTTCATCATCACTTGTGTTATTCAATTAAAAATGTCTAATTATCTTATGTAACAATATTTTATTAAGATTAGGTTAATTGGAGTATAATGCATTTGGACACTAAAATTCAACGGTCAACCTTTTCTTCATCTATCAATAGATTGATCGATTTTGAAATTTTTCTTCCTATTTGATCTCTTTTTGTACATATTTATCTACAGTATGATGTAAACGAAAGTATAATTTTTGAAAACTTTCCCGCTGGTGTTGGTACTTTGAACAAACCCACATCAATTGGATTTAGTCCCGGTGGGCGATTTCTTTGTGTTGGACAAAGTAATGGTCGCGCTGCTCTTTATGCTTTGAGTCATTACAACGACTATTGATCTGAATCTGTTACCATTGTACATAGGTACTTTGTATTTAATTTTGTTCTCAAGATTTATGTACACACCAAATTGTTTAAAATAAAATAAAGTTTTATGATTATTCGATATTTTTTTCCACTTAAGAAAATGGTCATATTATTGACCAGTACTTTTTCGGCTTACTGAGAAGTATGGAGGCGAATCTAGTTCTTTGTAAAATTAACTTGGATTTTGGACAGTTTCCTGATGGACAGATAAGCTTTTTTATTTTTATTTATTTGAAAAAAGATATATATGTCTGATAAAATCACAAGTCACTGATTTGCACCATCTGTAGGACCCAACCAAGAAGTCATAATAGACCGACTTATGACAGTCCTACACAGCCTTAATTGATTCCCAGACTTCATGTCATAAACTGGGTAACACTGTACTTTCTTCAACCGGTTTCAGCGTTGGCAAATAAAGCATGATGTGAGAGTTGTTATAATATTGATAAGAAATGTCCAAGTCACTGAAGCCAGTGTTGAAAGATAGTGACATGAGGTGATTTATGGTCATTGTACGCGAACGTACGTTGGGGAACCTCAGCTTCAATGACACTATGTTTGCAGTGAATGTCAGCAATGTTTCGGAGACATCGATAATGAAAAATAAAGTCGTTTAACATTTATGAACTTGGATAGTCTAGTTTTGAAAAGTATGGAGGAAATACTGATTTTTGGTTGAGATCGTGAGTCAATGAATTTTAGACCACCGTTAAAATCTGGAAGCACTGGACGGCCATTTCGTCCCAGTATGGGACTCCTCAGCAGTGCACATGCATGATCTCGCTTGCGGGATTCCAACCTAGGATTTTTGCTCTTGTGCGCAAACTCTCAACCTTTAGACCACTGAATTGACATTCAGCGGTGTTAATTTCTAACTTCAACCAATCCGCGAGATTACGCGACGCCATCATGGGTTTTTCACCGCTGATGATTCTCATACTAGGACGAAACGGTCGTCCAATAATTCCAGGTTTGCAATGATAGTCTAACATTCATTGATTCATGAACTGAATTAAAAACTTAACAATTTTCATAACTCCACGCTGAGAAATACTGATTTCACTGATGTGTTGAAGTTTGGATGTTTTACAGCCAGACTAACATGATAACTTTGCTAAAAGTGACCTAAGCCGTCATGAGCTGTTCTGACTTTCACTATATATAGATTTATATCACAGCCATGTTATAACCAGCACACATGAATACCGAGATACACATATTTTTCGGCTATTAACGGCTCACCACGAATTGTTAGTGCAAACAGAAGTTTCTATCAGTGTTGGGAAGGGCAAAAGTACTTGAGATGCAGACACTTGCTGCTGATTTACTAAGTGCTTGTCGGATTGCTTGAGTACCATTGTATAGTAAGGTAATATCATCCGAGTACTAAAAATCAAAGAACCTTTCTCCTTTTAACAAATTCACACCACCACTACTTATTTCTATAATTTTATCGGTGGAAAAGTTGGGGCGAAATAGTGGGACTGAACAACCCTGCTTGATCTCTACTGAATAGGGTTATGCTCTGCTGTCTAATAAGAATAATGAGATGATGAAGATTTGTAGCTAAGGTGGATGATGTAGGTAGAGTTTTGTTCTCTGAACTGGATGGTTCGGTCGTGGACCTTTCATCGTTCTTGTGGATGATCTCATCTGCACAGTCGTCAGATAGAAGTCAAGTGTTCGAATTTCTCCACACATAACTTTCAGCTTGTCTTGTCGATCTTAATCTTAGTTGGTTATTGTTGACTTTTAACCTTTCATTGTCTACTTTATTTTGATTGTATTTCCCATTGATTTGATGTAATGCCTTAGTTTTATGAGATTACTTCTAGAATATCAAAAAATATTTAATTTTCATTAGTATCATTGTGACATTAATTATAACATAGCCGCTAACCAATATTTATATCAGATAAATTTATTGGCATAACTAAAACAAAACGGTGCACAGTAATGGTAGAAGATCAATATAAACAAAATAGGATCTGACGCAAACATGTATTAATTCATTTAGTGCATTTATCATTCTATACATATCTATTCAGCAAGTTATAGTCAGTACCAGTAAAAAGCAACGAAGTGAAAATAATAGTAATACCCGTAATAATAATAAATTTAAAACCAATTAAGCGGTGAAATTGCTTGTTGTGCAATGTTACATAAGCTTGACTTTCTGCATAGCGAAATGTCACTAGAAAGGAATCAGTAAGAGGAAAATAGTAATTGAAAAAAATGACTTAGAAATCGAAATATCAAGGTTGTGTGATAAGTGGATGCAAATCGGTGTTTCGTTCATCAGTAACGGATATCAATTAGAGGACAATTGAGTACTGAAGAACATTGAGCAGCTGGTTTGCTTTAGTTTGAGACTCATATATAGTGTAGATTTATGCAGCTGTGATTCATTGATTTGATAAATCACGAGATTTTTTAGATCCAAGTTTCAATTGCATTTTATGCTTTTCTATATTAGTTAATCCACCTAACCACCGTAAAATAAATCGTTGGTAATTTTTTACTTCTCCGAACTCGTATATATATGTGTGTTGATATTAGCGACCACCTACCTAATAACTGGTAACACTTCAGATCTCAGATATATCCTCACGATGAACAACTAGAGGTTTATTATCATTTAAGGATAATTTTACTACGAGCTAAGGTCAGTTGGAATACCGTTAAAATATAGAGATTACTAAGTATTTGTTTTGTTTGAGACTCTTCATCATAACAAAGCTACAGGAGACCAGACCCTATTTATCTTTTAAAGTTAGTTGGGAGAGATTTATTCAACTAATCAATGCTCATAACATAGTGTTTACTATTGTAACTTGTTCTATCAATAATTGAATGAATTAATGTCAAAATCCTACTTTCTAAAATTATTTTTGAAAAAAATTTACTGCACTCACTCATATTCATATAATTAGTTTCACAAGTCAACAATCGACATATACTCGCATATTTGAGAAACAGTTAAGTATTAACATACAACGTTAGGAATAAAGTAGGTTCTTCAAAATATAACTAATACTGAAGTTAGTGGAAAGCTTAAACAAAAATGTGAAAGGAAAAATACCAAATAATTGAAGTAAATAAGTGTTTTAATAGAAATGCGATCGACATATTAATGGTTGAGTTAAAGTATGATGCTGAATTTGAGTGATTTCTAGATTAATCTTGGCAAAGTTTTGATCCCCTTTCGGCCAATAGGAGAAGTACAAAGGGTTGAGTTATAATACAAAATGAAGGAGTTTACAAAGTATGTGTATTTTTTTGGGTGATCAGTGAATATTTCTAGATTGCTTATCAGTTTTCCTGCCTTGAATTAAAAAAACATCCGATTTAGGTATTTATTTATATGACTATATGCCGTTCTACCTTGGGTACTTTTAAAAAGTTTTAAGCACAGTTACATAAAAGAATTACACATCCGGTGTCTTTTACGTATTATGGCTTTTACCATATTAACAACCATGCTGTCACCATCATAAGACAATGGTAGTCGTATTGTCTGGTTCTGACACATTTGTCAAAGAAGCTTTAGCTGTAAGCTGGATCTTTATTATCCAATACATTATCAAGAGTTTTAATTGTCCTAATATTAAATTAGAACGAGAGAAAAAAGACTCGCTGCAGATCGACTTCCTGTCCCACCAGACCTCACAAGGGAATATCACTGCATTTTGTAATCCTTTCGATTCCTTGGTAGCAATTTTATCTCATTCGCAGACGAGTGTTTTTCTTAGCAATGCGGATTCTTGTGCTTGATCATGCGCACCTCATTAAAATGAGTCAATGTTATCAGGATCATGATGTGGTATGTTCACCATTACCTTGAAACCACTTTCTTCACTCCGGTTTGGCATTACGCTCAAATTTAACTACAACTGAAATTGGGCGTCTGTAATTGAACCCCTATCCAAATACCTGTGAATCAGTAAATATTCGATCAGTACGTTTAAGTCCAGGCCTGAAACTAGCCTGATTTTCTCACATTTACCGTTTGTGAGTGTCCGTTAAGCTTTGAGTGATTATCGATGCTATTATCTTGGATCACAACATTTGCCAGACTGATTCCTTTGTGATTATTATCGGAATATTCGTTTTTACAAACAAACATTCCATGGTTGCAGTCAAAATAAGATATTGTAAATTTTTACAGAACCCGAACAGAATTTCAAATTTGAATATGTAGGTTTTCGTATTGTAAGGAAATTTATAAGATAACTCTAGGTATTGAATCAGTTACCCAGACTTCCAACTATAATTTTAATCAGTTCTCGTATTCATTTTACACACTACAAAACGGTGACTTGCAATTAACACCTCATTGTGACATTAACTGGAGAACTATTTCTGTTCAACGCACGATCAGTAACGTGTTTGGACTATTTGTGATCCCTACTCTCATCCGGCTTGTTGGTTACCGTATACATTTATAAAACTGTTTAATTTATCGTTTTACCCTTTAAAGTTATCAGTTGAAAATCACTTCATTATGACATCATATCAAACATTGAAACATTTAGTAAATTATTTATAATTTGCCTTAAATATAATTTAATTCACCAAGATCACCTTTATAGATAGTCTTTTAAAATAGTAAATGGCTTGATAGATAAAATCATTTTTTGACTTATTTTAACTAAAATCAAATTATTTCACTGTATAAAATTAGTTCTCTTGTAATTTGATCTTTTGGATAAATGTCAATGTTGTATGTATATAGTTTTGTTTCATTATAAAATTACATTTGAAAAGAAGAATAAATTAGGAATAACATTTATTTTCAAAGATGGATATTGGTTAGCAATGGAATCCAGGACGTGCATTTCGTTCTATTTGGGACTAGTCAGCTGGATGTACCTGCATCTCAGTTGATGTTCACTCTGGGACTCGAACCCAGTACCGTTCGATTCTAACGCCATCACGTTATCCACTAAGCTACTGAGTCCTGATAGC